ATATTAAATATGTTTTTGGAATCTATTTTATATCTTTTATTTTAAATAATTTAAAATATTAAATATGTTTTTGGAATCTATTTTATATCTTTTATTTTAAATAATTTGTGTTTCTGGAATCTATTTTATATTTGTTCGACCGTGAAAAATAAAGGTTAAGTCGTTTTAATTGTAAGATATAAATAGTCATTAAATTTATTATTTAAATTTTAATTTCTATTAAAGACATTCTTGTGTTTGATATTAACAAGTTCACATTAATCTCGCCTGAATTTATCTATATTCCCAAACAATAGCATTAAATATCCGATTAATCAATTGAACGATAAATTGATTTTCTAATGTAAGTACGCTAAAAGAAATGCCAACCTATAAGAAAGCAGTATTCTGTTCTTATTCATTTTTTAATAATCTCTCTAAGTATCTTATTAATAATTTTATTTTAACAATTATAAGTTGGCCACATCTGAATGAAATATATTGTAATAAAAATATTATGTGTAACAATTATTATGGATTGTAGTCTATAACTAGATTTCAACGGTTCTAACATAAATGTTAATATCTAGATTTACAATCGCTATTTTTGTCTCTGTCTTGATGTTTTTTTTTCCTCATTTTAAGCATAGACTCGTTATTGCGATAATATTTAAGTAGACGGATTTGGTAAAGCAGGAAATTATGCATATAATGATAAAGTGATTATTGCCGGCAAATTTATTTTAAAATTTATACATGATGTGCTACATTAACTCACATTTATTAGAAACTACCTTCAAATCGAAGATGTAATAATGAAAAAATAATGTATAGAAATAAACTATGGATAGAGTATGATCACGAATGCGCTTAACCCACGTTCATCTATACGAGATACAAAAAAGAATTAAGTCAATTACTCTTAACTCTGATCCATTGCGTTTGCTTCGTTCACGTTACTGCCGGTGCAGTCCTTTTGTATTATCTCGAAGAGCGGCAGCAGTTCCGGCGTGGCTTTGATTTGTCCAACAAACTCGCTCAATGACGGATTTTTATCTGCAAATAAGCGTATATTAAATTATTATAAATTTCATACTCCATGTAAGATTGAAAGAATTTTTAGTTAACTTAATTCTCTCTTAAATTTCATTTTCAATATAATCTAATTTAAATCTTATTAAATTATAAAACACAATTATTATTATTTAAATTAATTTAATTTTAATAATCCTAATAAACTTAACAATCCTATTTACCTGCATCAGGAATAGTTAACAATGCTGCAACGGCTCTCAATGCAGAGCGTTTCAATTCGTCTTGCTTCTCATACTCCTGCTTCACCGAGTTCGCCTTCACTTTCATTGTGCAAGTAGTCTTCAGCGGATCGACTAATCGCTCCAACCCTAGGCAGTAAACATTAGAGAGGTAAAATCAGAATTAAAAAATATGCTAAATTATCAAGAATATCATTCTAGCAAAAATTTTTCATAATTACTGTATAATTTTAGAAACTTGTTGGAAAAATTTTCAGATTTTTCAGTAATAATTAAAACACTTTCAGAAATATTAAGAAATCTACATCTTTTTTAGATTTCTGTGTGTGTGTGTGTGTGTGTGTGAGTAAATTTTAAAATTTCTCATTCTATTTTTGGAAAAAAAAAACAGGTTTTAAGGCTCCTAACTGGTTATCGTGGCCCACAGATTTCAATATAAATGGTATAAATCTGTGTCATAACTATACTGAAATCGTGACGTCATAAGCGAGAAATGACACGTAAAAGTTTCTTGCGTGCCATTTTTAAATAAAAAGAATTTGGATGAAATAAAAAAAATAGAATCGCTTTAAAAAACTTGTAAAAATGGATGAAAATTTTTCCTTCCTAATAGTCAACAAATAGATGTAAATGGCACGTAAAGTGAAGCCTATTCAGGTAAGAAAAGCTTTTGAAAGGAATGAAAAATATGCTTATATGTACAAAATTAAAAAATAACTTTAAAATAACTTTAATTTCCATCCATTTTTACGAATTTGATAAGTACAAAACAAATAATTGTGAAAATGTAAAAAAACATTTTCACAATTAAGCACATAATAACAAAATGACACGCAAGACAAAATTCGTCGTCAATACTTTTCACAGTAAGATCCGTTATTCAAGTATTTTTTCACGTTCGAATGTGATTGAGCAATTTTTACTGCTTCCAGGATCGGCATATTGTAGAATTCTTACAATTTACGATTTGTAACACTGATATAACGTATTGTAAAACGGGTCTAATGTACAACAAACAAGGTTCGCCGTGTTTCTAATTCCTATCGTGATTATAGTGTCGTCACCGTCAACGCGGAGTTTTTGGCTGAGAAAGTCAGAAGTCTTAAGGTATTTTTTTTTAGAAATTGTTATAAATTTAAAATACAAAAATATATTATATATTAATTAAAATATGAAAACTTTTAAAAATATAAGATGAGAATTTTTTTCATCAAAGTTTCATAATTATGTACAATATAATATAAACTCACTTTGCAAAACTGCAGTCGGACACAATTGCGCGAGTCGCGCGGTCATAAGGTAAGTCAGCATCTTGATATCATAATGGTCTCTAAGACCGTTCTCTACATGATTCAGAAACTCAAAGACGTCCAACCTGTCGAGACACGAGTCCAGTAAGGTGTACATGCACTCGAACGCTGCCTTACGAAGATCCAATCCGTCGTCTACTGTGTGCTTGAAAGGGCCCATCTCGACTTCTCTGATCAGTTCTTTCTGCAGCGGAAGTTTCATAACGTCACATTACAAAGTCTTTCAATAATAACGGACAATTCCGTTTGGTTTAGAGATTTAGTTTCTACTTACAAGAGAACCTCGCGAAGTGTCAAATTCTGATTTGAATGAAACTTGGTACACTTTGAGGTCATATAAATAGATGAATTTAGAAATTATCAGTTGGTGCTAAAAAACGGTTTAAAGGGAT